ATGCTAGATATTTTTTGTTAAACAAAAAAGATATGATAAAGTTAGACAAGTATATTAATATTAGAACAAAAAGCATTATTTGTCTAGCTTATGTATTGTTAGTTACTCATAAAATAAATATAGAATAGTTCTATGAAGTTTTATTTATTAACTATTGAATAATACTGAATTATATTAATCTACACATATGTACAGCAATGTTTATAATCACATCTATACAAGAAGCACATATATTCATTTGTCATCTTCATTAATTTCTATGGTCGAATAAAAACCATTTTTTTAAGATTTCATTTGATAGTAGTAAGATCTATAATGGTATGAAGAGAGAATGTTACCGTTTAAGAGAAGGTCCGCCAGAATAACAGATATCATGACCGGGGAAAAATTTTGATTTTTGATTTGATATTCCAAAAAGAAAGGCCTTTAAGAGTTATTAATAAATCCAAAATATTAGCTTGATCTGACCATCCCTTGTTGAGTTCTGAGGTACACTTCGACAACACGAGTAATATAGGCCTAGGCGAAAAAATGGTCATTTTTCTTACTTTTAATGTCGTACAAATGCTTTCCACTATTTCAAATATTAACATAGTGATAACTCTTGAAAAAAGAAAGAGCATTGTGTGTTCTATCAGCCTATGCCTTTTCGGACACTCCGTGAACACCCACACCCACACTCGGAGCTAAGAGTACATTTATAAATAATTGCACGCTGATTATTTCACCAATAGTTCCGCGTTTCAGAAAATCATCATCATTATTATTTCAAATCAAGTAATGATTATTAAAAAGAAAAACAAATTTAGGAAAAAGCTTTAATAGACAGACACAGGATGAAAAGACATTATTTAATCAAGACGTATTGTTCCACATGCTATACGAGGACCAGCATTTCTAAGAATTCGATGAAGATATTAATAAAGAAAAATGACAATTCGGTATATAAATACTTACCCAGTCATGTTACTTTCACCATGGCCAGTGTGACCTCCATCGTCTGTCAAATTGTGGATCATAAGAGGTAAATCAATAACATTTCTTGTCTTATTGAATCCAATCGAAATAACCCAATCACATATTACAACATGGGCATTACCATCAGCATCTACTTCAATATTGCCTAGATCTCCCACATGTCGTTCCAAAACTGAATCTTCTTGCATCCCATGAGATACATCTACCATAACAAATAAAGTGTGAAGATCATCACACTATTATAGAGACCTAAACTTACTGTAGGGATTGAAATGAGCACCACCAGCTGTACAATTATGATTGTCTCCGATGGGTAAAGAATGGATATGAAAACCCTAATAGAAATTTATTTCATTGAGAGTTTTTATCACGATTGTTGAAGAAAAAATGTCGGTATTGTTTAGTTCTGATGAACCGATTCAAGAAAGTGTATTTTCATCTCAAACAGTCTGTTGTACTGACGTTTAAATAAAGTTTTCTTTCTATAAACAGTAAGCTTCTGTTGCTTCTATTTCTTTGAATTTAGAGTGCGGGCTTGTGGTTAAAGAGCAATCTAACAGATATACGACTGCTAGAAATAACATTTCAATACACTCTAAAACGGACTATTGCTGATTAAACCGAAATGAGTCAGAAAACTAGGTGGAAACATCTTCTTATGTTAAAAGTTTACAATACTTTCCGTTTTCAGAATTTTTATATATATTTGGTTTCAAAGTTATCAGTACAGCGTAATAATACAATCGCTATATACCTAACCGTTTGCTATTGAACAAGAGAATTTTCAAGGTGGATATTTTCGGAAAGGGAAGGATGATTTTATAATAATCTATCATTGTTTTTATGGAAAGATAAAGAATCATTATAAAATGCTACACTTTAACGAAATATATTGAATTGACGCTTTTTTCTTCAAAACATAGACTTACTAATGTTGCTAGAGGTCTTAGACGACTAACAGAACCAGTAATGACAATGCCCCAAGCTTCTTGCCCTTCATAAAAGTTAATCGTTCCAATAAAATCATTTGTTCCTGCGAGATACATATCTGCATGAGCATGCGCTCCATCAGCACCACATGCACAAGCGGCAATCAGTACCAGAAAATGAAGAACAAGTTTCATTTTTAGTTATTCACAGGCACACGAAAATGTTGCAGAATCGTATATGAAACAGAAATAGAGAAGGAGAACGATGATTGTGTAAAAAAATCTTATCTCATATCTCATACAGAACATTAAAAACCATGAATTCACCCTTACTGCATTGTCATTGTAGTTGACATTAAGATTACATCGACGAAAATTGCTCGTGACGAAACGTTTTTAAAGTCATAGAGCACTTCAAGAACACTAATGACAAAACCAATGACAATATCTCACATCGCTCATACTGAATAGAGAGATTCACTGAATTCTTTTCTTCCTTACCATATGGAAAAAAATACTCCTTTCCCGCTTCAGAAATATGCCTGTGAGATGACGTTATATGTTTTAAAAGTTTATTTTATACCATCAGTGGATGAAAGAAGGGTGTGGGTGTGAGTAAAGTGAAGACCTGAGTCCTCATCCACACCTACAATCACACCCACGCCCACAACCACATCCTCTTCATTTTCATGCTCAACCACTTCCAAAAGTATCTGCTAACCCAAACCAGCGACCAAATGTTGTTTTTATTCAGTTTGACGCCTTGGGTAGACAGACGTTATACAGAAGAATGCCACGTTCTTATAAGCTTCTAACATCTTATAGGTAAGTTCAGTTTATGCCAAATAAGAGATGACGACAAAACTGTATCAAGACGATCATGAGTCACTTTGCTTTTTGGAGAGAGAAATCTAGCATACATTATATTAGTACACATCGCAAAACTAACTATTGATTAAGATTATAATAATGAATACTAAGATTGAGTGCGTATCGCAACTAGAAATAAAGAGAGATGAATATTAAGTATCTCGAAAAAAGTAAGAATTTTCTTATTAGATAGAGAGATATCTTATCTGTATCTGCAAACATAACCAAAATGCTTTGTCTTACTTCTCACTAGTAATCCAAGTACAATAAGTGTTGATTTTGTCTATGATTAGTAATTTTGATCATATGAAAGTAAATTTTTACCACTTTGTTCAGACGAAATTGTTTCAGCATCGAACAATTTATTTGGTTCAAAAGTCAGAAAGAATAGAAGTTTCTGATATTTATTTCCACAAACAATGAATTGAATAATATTTGTTTTAAAATTTTTAGCAAGATCGATGCAACATCTTCGGTGCTAACAGAATTACAAAGTGTCAAGGCGATCGAATTTCGTCATCTAAATGTAAACGGACATAATTCTGAACCGAATATGAGAAAAGTGTATAATGGAGGCGGTGATTGTCAGAAAACTTCACTTTTACTCTTGTACAAAAACGCTGGATATTCTACAAGTTTTCTAGAAAGCTACAGCATCTAATATCCGAGCTATTTCCCAGCTAATGGAGTTGATCGTGAATTAGCCAGCAATTATTTTCGCGAATATGGTCGTGATACAGCTGAGTTATACTACAAGAAAAGTGGTTGTGTTGCAGGTACTACATGGATCATCGACGAGATGTTTGACTATCTTCGAGATCGTTTCATAACGATGCGCCTAGGTGGTTGGTTTTCGATTAACAATATTGTTGATCCGCACAGTGAGGATGAACTGAATAACTATGCAGTGTTGGATTCGAAATTTTATGACTTTCTTCTTGATTTGAATAAGTGGAAGGCATTGGACAATACGATTCTCATTCTTCTTGGTGATCATGGTTTACATGGTCGTCAGTGGAAAGAATTTTGGCGTGAGTTCGACCACAGAAATCCTTTTCTTCAGATGTTAATAGGTAAAAATGTCATGGGATCCACTGATATTATCAAGCATTTGAAAGTAAACAGTGATAAACTCGTGACTCACGGCGATATTTACATGACTTTTGCCCGATTTTCCGGTGTTTCATTGCCTTTAACACTACCGAAGGCGATCAATCTATTTAGAGAAGAAATATCAATCGATCGAACATGCCGAACTGCAGATATTCTCGACGAGTGGTGCAATTATTGGATACCCAAGTCATGTCCTAAATTGGAACGGTAACTCGAAAGATCTTGTTGCAACTTGTTGTTTTTGTAACAAATCATAATTGCTTTTAGTAAGAAATATATCAAAAGAAACCGTATATCAGTCAAAATTCACAGCAACGCATATCAACTAATAGAAACTTATTCAGTAAATATTTGGATATCAATTCTCTTACCTTATGTTATTTCAAAAGAAGTCCAAGCAATGAGTTGCATTCACATTACAAGTATTCAGTCTATTAGAGTGGGTGTGGATCTACTGGTTATCCACACATCCACACTCACACTCCACCCACGCCTACACCCATCCACATCCACATCAACCCCCACACCGACATACCATCACACCCTATCCGATTACGATTCGTCCAGACAGTCTACACTCAAACTTCTAGTTCTCTAGACTATTCACAAAAAAATCAATTTTTTCTTCAATCGCTAAAATATTCTCATAATTTTTAGCGAAATCTATCGGAATACCTGAATTTCTTCAATACCCAATGTGATTAGAAGAGCTCACGTCTCCATCTCCTGAAAATTCTTCTTTTAATCAATCGATTTAGACATTAGTCATAAAAAATAAGGAAAAACTTAGTCTCCAAGTGAAGATTTTAGCTAAACAGTTCTACTATATATAATACATGTAATGTGCATTACGTAATGTATATCACTGCAGACTGTTAAAGGGAAGCTGAATTGTATACTATCGTCTTTTGATAACGTTCGTCTCGCAACAAAAGCAAGTTTTCTTTTTTGTTGATGAGACATGATTTTATAGCGTTATCATATTTCTCAACGGCTAATGTAAAGCAATGATATTTGAAGTTCAAGAATTCCAGACATCGATCAGATTTCTGGTTTATTAAAAAAATATTATTCAAGAATAAGATGTTTCGTTCGGTTTAGTGTGCATTTTTACCACCATAAGTATAATTTTGAACCGACTTGTTTTGAGATATAATCATTGACTAATGTTTCTAACAGGTTTAGCTTATATAATTTTTGTTGCCAACATTGACTTGCTCTTAAAAGACACAATGAGTTCAAAGGATGAGCATCACAATTCGTTTTTTTGAATAATAACTGTACGATTGATTCTAAATCCCTCGCGCGAGTTTCAATTGCAAGATGTTGTATTCGTGGACATAGTTTAAGAAGTAGTTGAATCTTGTCTAATGTACAGACTTCTTTAAGAGTCACATCTCGAATCGTATTTTGATTAGATACAAGTTGAAAAGTTTTATTTTGTTCAATGTCTTCAATAGTATTTCCGTACAGTGGCATGGATTCTAATACCAGTGTTTGGATATTAGGCATAAAATATAGTAATTCAGTTATTTTTATCAAAGAGAAATAATGGAAACCAATGACTAGTTTAGTGAGTTGTCGAATAGGAAGGATATTATTGAGAGTAGTTGAAATCGAATCACGACATACGCTCATACTATATTCCAAAGTAAGTTCAGTGGCATTGGGAAAATAATTCATATAATTGATCATTGCCTTCTCACTTCGAATATGAACATGATGCACTGACTTCAGATTAGTTTTGTCAGAGTTTAAACATGTTGTTTCCATCGATTGCTCATATAATACATAATTCTTTCTTCTAAAAAGTGGACAAATATAAGATGCTGTAATCAAAATTCTAATCTATAGATACCTGTATGGATTTATTGAATAGAATATTGTACAATCTGTATATCTTAAGTGATAACATTGATGTTCGAAGAACCATTGTCGTTCGATCCAAAATGAAGATGTAAATGGATTGATCTGTGTATCTAATACTAATTGATTATTATTAGCATGTTTTGGCCAATCTTCATGTAGAATGTCAAATACACGTAAGTTTGGCATATGAGATAATATTAATCGTTCCCATCTTTTATTATCTGCATAGGTTACATCGCTATTATATTTTATTGAAATACGTAAAACTTGAATCTTAGAACAGAGCTCTATAATCAATAGTTCCAATTGATCAAAGACCATGTATTTCAGTTTGAGAGAAACATGTGTCAAATGATTCAATACATGTGAAGATGTTCTCTTTTGGATATTCGAAGAACTTTCTAATGAATGAATATCCAAACGTCGAAGTTGAGGAACATATGATAGGAGATAATGAAGTTGATAGACAGAGATGCGATAGTCGATGATAAGGTGCTCGATTGGACTATATTCATTCGTTGTAACTGGTAATGACTCACGGGTAGAAAATCCATCCAATGACAATTTACAATATTTCAACGCAGACAGACGAAGTATTTGATGATAGATAGTATTTATATTTTCACCATTATAGAAATTAAACCTATATCTATGACAATTGACAGAGGTGATAATCAATGATGAGAGCATGGATAATTGAGAAAGAATTTTTTCCAGATATGTTGATTCAATATTCTCAAGAATAAGTCTTTCAAGTCGAACAAATTCTGATATATTGTAAGTCGGTGAAATTTCAAGACTATAAATGAATAGATTTGATACATGAAGTGAATGAATTCGATCTTTGTTGGGCATTATCATGTTTGTAGTATAACGTTCAAAAGCAGATTTCGACATCAATGAAATCTTGATATTGATCGGAAGAGTTGAATAGATAAGTATATGATGAAATCGATGATTAAGATTGAAAAATGCCTTGTATACATGATAAACATCCAGAAATTCAAATATTTCATATAAAAGTTCATTCGACAAATCTTCAAACTTTGTGATATATATTTCTGAAGAGATAAAAATATCAAATGCTAGAAAAAAAAAGAAAAAATATGACTATTACCTTCTTTCTTTTGTCTCTTGTTATCATGGATAATGCCGCTTAGTGGTCGTTTCATTTGTTCCATATCAAAAGCAACTCTGAAATTCTAAAATTAGTAAAGAGCAAATGAACTTATACAATCATTTTTTTCAAGTGAGGCACTCTACGCAGCATATTCGCCTACATATGCAAATACACGCCATTGACAGAAAGGAAAAATGTGAGAAGAAAAAAAACGATTACAAACAGAAGATAAAAATAGGATTACTCATTGTATAAATCATTCGAAAGGAAGTATGGGTGCACACGAGATTGGGTTCTTTTCTTTGGAACTTCGATAAGAATTTCGTATTTTCTGACAAAGCAAAAATAAGATCATTCATCAAACAGTACTTTCCTATAGTCAATTTATAATGAGAATGCTTTTGGATTTGTCGGATATAGATTTACATAGGATTTTTAATTAAGATACATTTGAAAAAACAGTTGAAACATAAAATAGGAAATATTTATGTATTTACCTTACTATTCTGGAGCGAACTTCGATAATACAAAAACCATGAATGAGTTTTTCTTGAGAATACAACGAAAATTATTCTTCAAAATATAACATTTTTTTGTTATTGCCAAATAACGAACATGTTAAAAATGACAAACATTGCGAACGAAAAGAAAGTTGCCAAAGCAGAAATAATGAAAGGAGAACAGACAAAAAAGGTATGTATGCATTTACTTTCGAGTTTGATTAACAACATGGTGTTAGCGAAGTTAGAATTTGCCAATATGAGAAAAAAAAATTACGTATCTTGACAGTGGCGCACGAAGTATCATATTGGTATTCATACTTTGAAAGATAAAAAAAAAGTATTCTAATGAGTTGGAAATTAAAGTAAATATAGTTTCAACTAAGTTCAACGATTGAATGAAAATTTTTTTTATTATGTCTAAAAATTACTATCGCGTATATGACGGAACTAAGATATATGTAGATGAAAAATGATATCATTCAATGCATCATAAGTATGTTTTGTGTAAAACATTGGTTATCCATTTGATTTGATATTTACTCATGCATCATTCTGATTCATATAACACTAATCTTGATATATATTAGTAAATGTTGTCCACACCAAGCCAGAGAACTGCGAGCTACGTGAGGACGAGCGTTAGCCTGTTGGAAAATGAATGTATCACCTATTAATCGTTTACCTTTTGACAATGCGAATGGTAGCATGTCATTAATGTAATTGTCTTGTGCTAGTGTTTCATATGGTTCAAATATGATTGTAATCGCCCATATCATCTTGCTTTGCTACTATGAAAATTCCTAGTAGCACATTATGGAAGTGCGTTCCGTACAACCTGAACTAAAATACTACATTACTAGTATAACGTAATCTTAATAAATTCTTTAAAGCCGTTTGGAACGTTGTATATCTATTTAATAGAAGTTCATCAGTTGAAGATCGAAATTAATCAGTTAAAGGTTCCAGTCTAGTTTGAAATCTGTTGAAATTGTGGGTACAATCAAAATTGAAAATTGTTCACACATTCATTCAGTTATGTACTACAAGAAACGAAGAGAATACTAACTAAAATCTCTTTTACTTTGCTTAAAGGTAATCGAAAATTGGAAATAATGTCTATTCACAACAAAAAAAATCAATCATTGGAAATTTTTCTCCAGTCATACCCAATATATAGTAATTTGCATTTGAAAATCTTGAATCCAATGCAATTATCAATTAAATAGAAAGGATCACTATTGCGTGGTTATTATTATTTTTTAATCTGTATTACTTTGAATATGGAACTAAATCGAGTGAAGATGAAATAGATCAGATAATTAACAACATCATACGAACGAAGACATCGAAATCTAATCGACGAAAAATGTCAAAGGCTGTTACAGATTGGAAATGTTTATCATTTCTATTCAAAGATGTCATTTGAAATAAAGATATCATACAATACAGTGCCAGTTTATCTTAATTGTGGACATGGGGTGTGGATGTTGATGTTCTATTCACCCGCACTCACTCACATCCACCTGACAAACGAAGTAAATTTGAAACTGCTATATAAATTGTTTCATAATTGAGATGGCGCAATTACATCAGTAATCGACTTCAATGAATTAAAATATTTTAATCAATATTAATCAATTGCGTTCGTTATTTTGCCCTTTTTTTAAATATCATACATCTTTGTACATATAGTGCTTTCGAAATTGATATCCTCGCAGATTGTGCTCAAATCATGTGTGCTTCCTATTGATGAAAACCAATTTTAACCGAATTCTTTAATCTAAATTATGTTTCAGAAAAAGCACTTATATGTTTCATAATCATATATATATATATATCGTGTTTGTTCTAGAATTTCTCTCTTACTAAATATTACATGACATTTTTATCTACCATAATTATAGTAATCCATATGATTTGCTTCTGTATAGACCTTACTGATACTCTTCGACACCTTGATAATCGATTGTCCATGAAAAGGCGATTATAACAGAGATAATCAACTATAATCGATGTAATAGATTATTTTTTCAATCGATTTATAAATTTTAATCGGATTTTTAGGTCGGGAATCAAAAATAATCATGATTTTCCTAGAAATATTTTTCACTAGACTATCTAAGACTGCAGCTCACAGATTTTAGATAGATCTATCAGCATGAGATAACTTTCTTTACATGCTCTAACTCTACCCGAATTAAAAGAAAATATAGCATGCACGCAACTATTTCCTCTTTTATGTATGCAACGAGTTAAGTGCTTCCGATCAGAAGGAAATGAATATTAGCTTTTACTGTTTTATCAGAATAAACAAAAGAACTATTAACATCATTTGATTACTGAATATAAATGAAACAAGATTACTCTTAAAAACATCATTACTAGAGTGACGGACATGATTGACAGACGACGTATGGAATATTGGTTGGGAATTGTTCAAATATCGATAGATCTCACCAATCTCATTGAACAATTAGCTATTTATTTCATTGTAAAACAAGACTTCAACGATAATAAATACGAACAACATTTGTTCTTCTGTGTTCTTCTCGCAATTGGCCTTCTTTCATGTATTCCATCAGCTATTC